ATATATATTTTGGCAAGACAGCTTTCTGGACAGTCTTGTATACGTAATCTGTTTTCAGTATCGAATGCTGGCTCCCTAAATATCAGACAGAACTGAGCTTATTGCTTACTGTGGTACAGGAAAACACCACCTATAAAGAGCTTTGGTAGTATTTCAAAGGAGGAAATGCAAGGATGGATGTTATTGACAATTGGAAGTTTGGTTTAAGGCCAGTCTTTCAATGTGATTAGGATTGGATGAAGATCAAGATACAACAGTGGAAAATTCATGGAAATTAGGTAAGAATTTTGAGGCTTGGGGGCCACCTGGGTGGCTCAGTCGGTTAAACATCTGCCTTCGGTTCAGGGTCCTGGAGTCAAGTCCCGCATCGGGTTCCTTGCTCAGTGGGGAGCCTGCTTCTCCCGCTGCCTGCCACTCCCCCTGCTTATGCTCTCTCTTTCTCTGTCAAATAAATAAATATTTTTTTTAAAAAAGAAATACTCTTCAATAAAAACAACAGAATGTACTGTTATACTTTTAATTTTTTACAAACCTGATAGGTGAGAAATGGTATCTCGTTGTTTCAATTTGCATTTTCTCTGTGAGTGAAAATTTTTTTCATATGTTTAAGAGCCAATTCTCTCTATTTCATGAGTATTGGGGTTGTGTGTCTCCCCCATTTTTCTATCTGGCTTTTTATCATTTGTCCCTCAATTTTTTTTTAAAGATTTTATTTATTTATTTGAGAGACAGTGAGCAAGTGAGAGAGAGCACAAGCAGGGTGAAGGGCAGAGGGAGAAGCAGACTCCCCGCTGAGCAGGGAGCCTGATGGGGGGCTCGATCCCAGAACACTGGGATCATGACCTGAGCCGAAGGCAGCTGCTTAACTAACTGTGCCACCGAGGCGCCCCATCCCTCAATTTTTAAGAGTGTTTTTATATATTAGGAGTATTAGCCTTTTGTCTGAAGTGTATGTTGTAAATATTTTCTCCCAGTTTCTCAATTTTTTTTTGTTATTTTGATTATGGCAGTTTATTATTTTTTTTATTTTTTATTTTTTTTAAGATTTTATTTATTTGTCAGAGAGAAAGAGACAGCACAAGCAGGGAGAGCGACAGAGGCAGAGGGAGAAGCAGGCTTCCCGCTGAGCAGGGAGCCCAATGCGGGACTCGATCCCAGGACCCTGGGATCATGACCTGAGCTGAAGGCAGATGCTTAGCCGACTGAGCCACCCAGGCGTCCCATGGCAGTTTATTTTTTAATATAGTCAAATTCGTCATTCTTATTATCTCTGAATTTTGTGTCTTGGTTAGAAGCTATCTCAAGGTTAAAGATAAATATACATCTTTTCTTCTATCACATGTATGATTTTATATTTTACATTTAAATCCCTAATCCATTTGGAGTTTATTCTTATGTATAAAGTAAGGTATGGATCTAATGAAATCTTTTCCCACATGGCTACCCCAGTTGTCCCAACACCATTCATTTAAACATCCATCTTTGCTCCCTTCATTTGAAATGCCACCTTTGGGGCACCTGGGTGGCTCAATTGTTAGGTGTCTGCCTTCGGCTCAGGTCATGATCCCAGGGTCCTGGGATCAAGCCCCGCATTGGGCTCCCTGCTCAGCAGGAAGCCTGCTTCTCCCTCTCCCACTCCCCCTGCTTGTGTTTCTTCTCTCACTGTGTCTCTCTGTCAAATAAATAAAATCTTTAAAAAAATGAAATGTCACCTTCATCATATAATAAATTTCCATATATTCTTGGGTCTATTTCTGGGCTTTCTCTTCTATTCTATTTGTGGATCCATGCACCACTACCACATTGCTTTTATTACAGTTATATTGTAGCGCATTTTAATGTTTGTTAAGGCTAGTCACCCCTTTTAGATTTTCAGTGTTTTTCTGCCTATTTTTGAATGTTTGTTTTTCCATGTAAACTCTATTATTAACTTTTCTAACTCCATGGAAAGCTTATTGGTATTTTATTTGAATTGCACTAAATTTACAGATTAATTTAGGAAGAACTGAGATCTTTATACTGTTTATTAATTTTCCCTACTTAATCATGTCCTTTACTGTTATAAATTACCTTTTTTCTACCGTTTTGTCCTTTACCTAGTTATGGTTTTCCAATAGGAAGACTTAATTTTTTCAACAGGTTTATTGATACATAATTTACATAACATAAAATCATTCTTTTTTTTTTTAAAAGATTTTATTCATTTATTTGACACAGAGAGAGAGATGAGAGGCAGAGCGCAAGTAAAAGCAGGGGAAACAGCAGACAGAGGGAGAGGGAGAAGCCAGGCTCCCCACCAAGCAAGGAGCCCTACGTGGGGCTCAATCCCAGGACCCCGGGACCATGA